AGACGTTTTCGAATCCGGCTGGGGACACATAGCCTCGCATTGGGTCGACCAGTCAGCTACAATCAGTGTGCTTATGTGTGTGCTTTACCCTAGATGACAATGGTAAACATCCATGATAACCCCCACCTCAGTCTTAAAGAACGTACCGACACGCTGGCTCTGCTACATGAATGCAGTGTTGTGTTTGAAGATGGGCAAGTGATGGGGCGGACTAATATCGTACAACACGAGATCAAGACAGGCGATAACTTGCCCATTAGAACGCCACCGCGACGGGTACCCATTCACTACCAACAGCAGTTGGACACCATGATAACAGACATGTTATGAAAGAAGCTAATTAACCCGTCTACCTTGCCGTGGGCATCTCCAATCGTTCTTGTGAAAAAGGAGGATGTCTCTCTGTCTCTGTGTCGACTGCCGTCATTTAAATGCCATCACACAACGGGATTCTTTTCCCTTGCCTCGCATAGACGCTACCTTAGACACTTTGGGTGGAGAACAGTGGTTCTCCAAATTATATCTAGCTTCGGGCTATTGGCAATTTGAAATCCGTCCGGAACACCGCCCAAAACTGAGTTTGTTGTGCTTACGGGGTCGTACGAATTCGAAACTAAGCCATTTGGCCTATCTAGCGTCCCTGCTACGTTTCTACGGCTAATGCAAACAGTACTTGCAGGGCTAGTCCCTAAATAGTGCCTAATCTGCCTGGACGATATCATCGTGTTCGATCAGTCTCTCGAAGAACACCATGCTAACCTTCGAGCCGTATTTCAAAGTTTACGCAGGAGTAATCTTAAGCTGCAAGCCTCAAACTGCAAATTCCTGCAGAAATCCGTTATTTTCCTTGAACATGAGATTACTCCACAAGGAGTGCACACAGACAGCAGCAAAACCCAAGCAATTATCAACTGGCCGACCCCTAAATAGACAGCTGACGTACGCAGTTTCATGGGGTTGCTTCTTACTGCCGGCGTTTCGTTCAAAATTTCGCCAGTATAGCAGCCCCACTCCATCGATTGACCAAAAAGGACGGAAATTCGTTTGGACAAACGAGTGCCAGGTAGCCTTTGATACTCTTAAAACATGTCTAACTTCTCCCCCTGTTTTAGCGCTTCCAAACACATCGGCTGATAGTGGTCCGTTTATCCTGGATACTCACGCCAGTGCTCACGGAATAGGAGCCGTCCTTTCACAGACAACCTCTGATGGACAAGTACGGGTGATAGGATATCCTCGCCGAATGCTGGACAAAAGAGAGACGCGGTATTCTACGACTCGTCGTGAGATGTTAGCTGTTGTATACTTTTTCACTTACTTTTGCCATTACTTGCTGGGGCGAAAATTTCGCATCCGGACTGATCGCAAGGCGTTACAGTGGCTGCAGAACTTTCGTGATGCCGAAAGCCAACTTCCCCGCAGGCAGGAACGTTTACAGGAGCTTGATCTCACTTGTGAATACCGATCCAGAAAACGACATGGCAATGCCGATGCCCTCTCACGCCTGCCACACTGTGAAACCACTTGGTGCTACAGGTGATATTGACTTGGCCTCCCTGCAAGCGGCAGCAGCAGCACGGCAACAATAAGACGACATCCAAAGAATTACGGGACCTGCCAGCAGCTACAAGGAGCATCTGCGGTAAATGGGGTCTCCTTCGTCTAATAGATGACGTCCTCTACATAGTGGAACCGAAATCCAACCCACGACTCCTCGTTCCAAACGCCAAAGCACAGGAGCTTATTAGCCACGTACAGCACCAACTTGGGCATGCTGGTCAACAGAAAACTGAAAACGCCATCCATCAACGCTTCTGGTGGCCGTTACCTCACCGAGATGTGATCGAGTTTTGTAAACATTGCGACTTCTGTAGCCGTAACAAACAGCCTACGCAAACGCCTACAGCACCTCTCGTACCTATGCTAACGGAAGCGCCGAATCAGCGCGTCGTGATCGACATAATGGGACCACTTCCACCGATGTATCCTGGTGATGATTGAATACTTTACAAAATGGTGTGAAGCGGTAGCTTTACAACGACAAGATGCAAATAGCGTAGCCCAGGCGTTCATTGACAACTGGATTACTCGTTTTGGTGCCCTACATTCACTGCATTCAGATCAAGGTGCTGTTTTTGAAAGCCAACTGGTTCATCATATCTGCAACGTATTTGGCGTTTGTAAGACACGCACGACTGCTTACCACCCAGAAGGAAACAGGCTGGTGGAATGTACTAATCGAACACTCAAGAATATCCTACATGCTTTTCTCGATCGCTTATAAACTGATGAGACACTGAGTTTATGTCTCCTGGCTTATCGTTTATCTCCACAGGTTTCTCTCCTGCGTTACTTGTGTACGGTCAAGAATTGGCCTTCCTATCGAGGTCCAAGTTCCTTCCCCTGTGAGAAGATTTACCATATCGCCTATGTCCCGCAACTACCCAGCCGTTTGGCAATTGCTTACGATCTGGTGCGCACTCAACAGAAGTCGTCAAGTTACCATCAGAAGAATGTGTATGACCGTTTCGCTCGTGGCCCGACTTACGCTGTCGGTGATCATGTTTGGCTTCACCGTCCCTCTGGACCAAGTGCAAAATTCTACTCCTCATTGCACGGACCCTTTGAGATTGTGCGGAAGTGTCCACCTACAACTTACTTCTTGAAAAGTATTCAGCAACCGAATGGTGATATTATTCCTGCCCACTACAATCAACTCAAGCCACATCACATTTTCCCTCCAATAATCAGCCTCTCCACGGTGAACCACCACCCGCCAGCTGTCAATATGAAGTCCCAGCCGTTGGAGGTGCAGGCTACCCAGTTCCACCCTTGGGCACTGAGGACAGTGCCCCCAGAGGAAGGGGGCAGTGTAATATTAACCTATATTATAATACTAATCAATGTTTTATTTTCTCCACTTGCAGGAAGACACCCGGGAGTCAATTGCCTGGACCAGGAGATACATGAATTGTAGAACATAAACATTAATGAAGCCCAGTAAAACCGTTATACCCTAAAACTGTACCCCCACACTTTAAAAGATATCAATTTTGTGGAACAAAGTCTCTCTTGCACAGTTCACGTTCTGCTTTCATCATCTGTGTGCTTGCTGGTTGCCTATTACAGTTTCATATGGTGGCTATTGTGATTGGTTGTCCAAGGTCATTTGGTAGGTCGTTGTAAAATTTCAAGTTTACCTGTCCATGGTATGAGAAATGGTAATTGTCGTTTGTTCTCTAAATTAAAATTATAGATTCTCACAATATTAGTAGTATTTTGGGTGGTAGCGTACATTTACTTCTATTTCAAGTCAAAATCGGACTTCCCACATTTCGTTCCTGTAATGATTATAATGGGGTCTGGAGGACATACAAGTGAAATGCTCTCTTATGTCTCATCACTCACCACAAAATACCAGCCGCGTACATACGTAATAGCAAAAACTGACGCTTTGAGTGAGGAGAAGGTCTTAAATTGTGAGACCCGTCGTGGAATTCTGGTTAGCCCGTTGTTTCTATTTTATATGATACCGTAGTTTAATATCAAACGCATACACAGAGCTCGCGAAGTAAGACAGTCATTTATGAGCAGTATCTTAAGTATATCAGTTTCTTTCCTGCATTCGTTGCCTCTTGTCGTCCAGTGTCGACCGAAATTAGTGAGTCGCTTTATTATTTTACTTTACGCATTATATTTATGTATCATTTGTGCTAAATGGCTTTGTCTCAGCATAGCGTGGTGTCCCTGTTAAAGTAAAGTTGCAACCACATCTGTGGATTCAGGGAGAGAGAGGGAAAGTAAAGGAGAGAAGAAAGTCAGCTAAAATATGACACTGCACGCATGTATCTACATCACTACAAATCGGTCTTCATCAGTATTCTTGTTCAAAACGGACTATTTTTGCTGTTTCACTGGGTTCCCATTGTACCTGTTGATACTTTCAGAATTGAAATACTGCCGATTAACGCAACCAATATCCACCACTATATTGATGTTCGCAAGTAATCAGCAAAGATTGATATTTTTTTCCATAGTTCTAGCTGTTATGTAAAGGCACTTTGTTGGTGTTTATCCCCCTGTTTATTTTACCCCGACAAATATATGCCTAGGTGCGTTACATGACTGTCCACTCTGAAGGCTTTATCTGTCATTTTGAATGCTCTGCCCAGTAATCTTTAGTTAATTCTTCCAGTTGGCATATTGATACCATCAAAAAGGCAGTGGAGGTATTTCAGTACCTGTTGTCTTTACGAATTTTGGATACTAGCTGTTCACTTCCACGTTGTCTTTAGTATATTTAACTCTGAAAGTAGAGCAGGTCACCTAACTGGTACTATAGTTGACTTGTTTCCTTGTATAGTGCTTTAGTTGGGTGGTTTATGCGAGAGTGATTTGGTCGGACTTGATGCAGATGTGCATTCATTCAGGGTTTTACACTTGAATCATGCGTAAAACTGGTAAACAAAAGTGCAAGGACACTTGAGTCAACAAAATTGGGTGTGGTAGTGAGAAACTTGGTGAAAGCAGTATCCAAAATCTTAGAAATGACAGTAATACAATTGGACGAAAACGTTCGACCACACACTCATTACAAAGAATACATATTTGTTGTCATTATTTTTCCGTTTATATATATATGCTTACCTTTTAATTTGTTATGAATAATCGTGTTTGTAAAGTGTTTAGCTGATGAGTCGTACCAAAATTCACGAACTCATTAATTAATATTAATTACCCCTTTTCTTCAACTGCTACTTGTTTGAAATTTATTGCTGGGAAAGATGTATATTCAGTTATTATAATGATTGCTGTTTTATTAACTAGGAAATGTATCTCATTAGTATAAATGAGAATGGCATCTTTTCGTTCATTATTACTCTGTTGTTCTTATATGTTCACATTGTGACTAGCTAATATATTGTATCCCGTGTGTTGAGTCGGTTCTTGTTTGTTCTACTTCATTGATATCGCCTCCCTTATGAGACATTTTCTTGTAGATTCTGTGCAATGGTCCTGGAACATGCATTCCTGTATGCTTTGTGGCGCTTTTGCTTCGGGTAAGATAACTATCAGTTTTTTCAATGTCATCTGTTACTTGCTTAATCAGGGGGAATTTAATAATAATAATAATTTACTTTATTCCAAAAACAGTACTTATAATACAGAATGGAATTCTCAGCATTTGTCACAATATTGCATCTGATTTACTCGAAATATAAATAAAAGTAAAAATTAAAACAAAATTAACCAGAAGAATTTGTCCACATTAACGACATAATTATTAGATATAATAGTAATAATAATAAATACTAATAACAGCGAGTTTGTTTCAAACGGTATTGTCGATTCATTTTGGAAACTTTAGCATGTTATGGATAATTGGGTCTCATGTTCTGTTAATATGGTATAGTGCGGTGAAATACAAAGTTAACAGTCATAATACAGCTTAAAATTATGTCCACACTTATGAAAAATAAAATAAACAAAACGAAAAATTGAGAAGATTATAAATATAAGAAATACAATAACAATAAAGTTTGATGCTTTAAGGTTGAAGGAAATGGTCTATTTAGTGGTGCTAAGAAGGTTAATTAGTTCATTTCTGACACTATTTTCATCACATAGAGTACGTGCTAAATATGGTATAGTGGAATTTTTATACTTAGACGTACGTGCATAAAGTCTTCTGAAAAGACTTCTTGTTTTATCTGAGGAGACACAAGGTTGGAGCTGCGGGTAGAGTGGGTGCTCAGAGTCTGACAAAATTCCTCTAGCGAATCTGTTGCATGACATCAAATGCCTATCAGTGACAATGCCAACGATATGGCCCAATGGGATACCACTCGTCCTACTGACAGTCTTCAGAGTTCTACGAAGTATGACATAGTCCTTTTTTAGCAATCCAGGAAAGAATAATGGTGAAGAGTAAAGAAGAATAGGTAAAATACACGAGTTGACAAACTGTAAGAGGAGTGGTTTGGTTATGCCTGAGTGCCTCAACTTCTTAATGTAAAAAGTCAGACGAAATATTCTTTGAGAAATCGCTAAGACATGAGAAGACCAAGATAGGTCAGAAGAGAGAACTAATCCAAGATACTTAACTTCAGACTGGGTACTCGTTTTATGTTGTTTAGGCATCAAAGTAAATCATTTGCCAGTTTGAAACGATCATTCATACGTAATTCTATTACTTTAAATAGTTTATAATACTTAGGTGGCTTGGCATAAGGGCTTAGTTGTTTTTGTTTAGGATGCTCACAAGTTAAATTACAAAATATTCGATACTACGGATGATCCCAAATTTCAAATCACTGGTTATTTCAGGGGCGGTTGACTTGTTACCAGGAAACAGTCTTGTCGACTTAGCGTATGCGGGTAATATATATTGTCCTCCTAGGCGAAGACTGGTAAAATGCAGAGTCTTTGGAACACCTTGAGCAGCAATCGTTGAATGTTTGGCATGCGATTCGTTCCTGTCAAATGTAAGATGATGCTACATTGACCGACTCCTAGCCTGAAGATAGGGAGTGAAGTGGTCGGTGGAGAGTGTTGATCAGTTCACTTATTTATTTGAGAAGTCGCATCAGCCCCAACGGTTTGATCGCTGACGAAATTTCAGCACAGATATAAAAGGTTAGTGTGGCCTGGTCTACTTACGTCACTTCTGGTGTAGATGTGATATCCGGTTATCGGCCAGATGACATGTTTAGTAAACAGCAGTTCGTTCCGTTCTCATTTGTGGTTGTGCGACATAGCCATTGAAAGTGGAAGATATGAAGAGGTTAGTTGTCTTTGATGCTAAGCATCTGCGTTCTGCTTCCCGTATTGAGTGGTATAATATGGTAAGTAATATTGAGGTTAGGTGTATAGTGCTGGGCAAGGAAGGGGAGTTAATAGATGAGAATGTGAATCTACATCGACTGAGGCAGTTAGGACATGCGTAGCGCATGCCAAGTCATCGCATTGTTAGGTAACGTAGGATCAGGTTGGAAAAGAGTTAGAGGTGATCAAACCAAAACCTGTCTTCAATCCATGAGGGAGGTGTAGGTTGCCTAGAGGGGTTCTATAGGATGCTAGGAAGGCTTCGTGTGCTTTTGGAAGTGTGTGGGCGGTTGTTACTTCCCGGCTGCCCACACCGTGGAAGTTAGTTGAGTCTTCGGGTGCCTGAAATAGAAAAAAGGTTAGTGCTGTGTGACCGCAGAGCCCAGGGGACAACTGCTTGAGGCCGGTCACACGCGGCCTATTTTTGTTTGTTCTTTCTTGTTTGGTGTGTCTCAGTAGCATATTTATCACTCCTGCCCTGTGACACGGCAGCAGGAAGCGCGGTCGTTGTTAATCCGGGCCCCGACCGATCCGGCATGATATTTTGTGAATTTGTTTGAATCATAGTATTGGATTGGGTAGCTGCTTTTTGTTTAACCGCTATCCAAACAACCTTTGTGGCATGGTAGGACCTACAGGAACATAAGTTCCAGCCAGTGTAGCTCGTTGGGTCATTGCGATAAGCAAGCTCGACTACCACGTCAAGGTAGCAGCTATCGGTCGGGAGGATGCTAGGAACCAGTAGTTTGGGAATATTGACGGTGTCGTCCTAAACCGTTCTCAATGGCGTAGATGCATTCACCCTTTGTGATCTTCCATATCACTGAAACCCTAACGTCTTTCCCTGCTACTATTCTTTCTCCTTAAAATTTGCGCTTATTATAGTTATACTTTCGAATCCCTTTCTTTTCTTTCTTATTTCTGCCTTTGTGTTCTAAGCTCTATGTCAGTCAGTTATTTCAGGATCCTAGAGAATTCTTAATGTATCTCTTGATTGCTATGAAACTAGACATTAACTTTTGGGATCTAGTCGAGAATTCCCTTAATACCTTAATACTATGGGAGGTGTTTCTCTGGAATTCTTTGTTTTATAATTTCAGTGTCATGTTAGACAATTATTTATACATATGGGTTTGAACGTAGAATATGATCACAGGTGTTTGCGTTCTATCTCCTGTGTAAAGTGGTATAATAAGGTGAGCAATATTGAGGTTAGGCGTCGAGTGCCAGGTAAGGAGGGGAAATCAATCGACGAGGCTGTGAAATTACATCGACTGAGATGGTTAGGACATGTGTTACGTATGCCTAGTCATCGCCTTCCTCGACAATGGGCAATGTTAGCTGACATAGGGTCAGGTTGGAAGAGAGTTAGCTAGAGGCGGTCAAACGAAAACATGGCACCAGTCAATGAAATCTACAACAGTTAGTCTAAGCAAGCCACGTAGGAAGGTGTAGACTGGCTTCCTGACTGGTTTGGGTCCTCGACACGGTAAAAACCGTTGGTTGGAAACAATTGGTGACATGGCTCAAAATCGTTCTCAATGGCTAGCGCAGATGTATCCACTCCTTGTGACTTATAATTTCCAATGAAACTATATTTTTCTTCGTTATTACTATTTCTTTGTCTCACACCTCTGTTTACTGTCTCTAATATGCATTTCTCCTACTTTCTTCTCTTGCTTTGTGTGCTACAAGGAGGGAGTGTGGCGATTTGAACTGCCGCACATATGTGCATAGTTCTATGTCAAAAGCAGACAGACAAATTTGAATTATTCGCACTAGTTTGGAACTTTACTGAATTAAAAGAACAGGACGCAACCTGGTATCATTTTCTTTTCAGTCGCCGAGCTGTAACTGTTCGTATAATGTTACACAGGTCTACTATATTTTTAATCATGCTTTTACTTTGTCGTAAGCAGGTTTGTAAACATGTTCTATTTTTTTTTTTTGAAATTAAACAGGTACTTGGACTACATTCAAGTCTAATAGTCTTTGTTGAAAGTATCTGTCGTACGAAGACGCTATCCTTATCTGGAAAAATTTTATATTATACTCGTTTGGTGGATGTTATTGTACAATGGCCTGAGTTAAAGACTAAATACCCGAGATCTGTTTATCTGGGACTTTTGTCTTAGAAAAGTGACCTACTACATACATGACCGTGATATTTTGCATATTTTCTTTTGTATTTCTTCTTTATAATGGATTCTTATAATATATTTGTATTTTAATATAAATTCTAAAAAGAAACAACTGTGTTTGTGTTTTTGCACCTTAAAGGCCTGGTTCGCTATTTCAAGTGTTTACTGTTTTCTCTTAAGCATATGATGATACTGCTGCTGCTACTGCTGCTGCTGTGTGATCTGTTTCACATACCGAGTTTACTGCCTTGACCACTGATTCTGTTTAACTTCATCATAGATATGCTAATGGAAGTATCCTTAACTGAACTTTACGACTTAGGAATCGACTTGTTACCAGGGAATAGTCTTATAGACTTAGAATACGCAGACGACATAGTCCTGTTAGGGGAGGACGCTGACAAAATGCAGAGTCTTCTGAACACCTTGAGCAGCAATCATCGTATGTTTGGCATGCTATTCGCCCCTGTAAAATGTAAGATGCTGCTACAGGACTGGACTACATCAACTCCTAGCTTAGTGATAGGGAGTGAAGTCATAGAACATGTGGACCACTTCACCTATTTTGGGAAGTTGTATCAGCACCGACGGATTGATTGGTGACGAAATCTCAGCACGGATCCAAAAAGCTCGGGCTGCTTTCGCTAACTTGCACCATCTCTGGCGTAGGCGTGACATCCGGCTATCAACCAAGGGACGTGTGTACTGCTTAGCAGTTCGCTCCGTCCTTCTCTATGGCTCTGGAACATGGCCAATACGAGTTGAAGACATGAAAGGTTGACTGTTTTTGACCACAGATGTTTACGATCTCTTTCCCACTTTAGGTGGTGGTATAATAAGGTAAGTAATGTTGACGTTAGGCGTAGAGTGTTGGGCAAAGAGGGAAAATCAATCGAAGAGGCTATGAAGTTACATAGATTGAGATGGTTAGGTCACGTGCTGCCCATGCCTAACCATCGCCTACCCCACTCCAACGGGCATTACTAGCTGATATAGGTGCAGGTTGGAAAAGAGTAAGTGGTGGCCAAACAAAAACATGGCATCAATCAATCCATGAAATCCTTGACAGTTAAACTGAGTCAGGTAGGGAGGGAGATTCAGACTTCCGGGTTGGTTGGGGCCCTCGGGACTCTAAGAATCAATGGCTGGAGACAATAGGTGACATGGCTCGAAATCGTTGTCATTGGCTTACGCAGATATATTCAGTCTCTAACCTCATATTCCTTTCTACCATTACTCATTCTGTTTCACTCTTATACTTGTCAAAACTCTACTGATTCTCTTCACTCATCTTCTTGTCTACCTTTGTGTGCTATTTGGAACGTGGGAACTCGAACTGCTGCACTTCGGTTACAAGTTCTATGTTGAATCCAGACAGACCACTGATTAAACTACTTAAACAGAAGATAGCGAAAAGGAATGGAAAAATATTCATTGTAAGGACAACTTTGTAATATTTTGGAAAGTAAAAATAAGTAGTTCAGCGAAGAGTCTCTTTTCGGCGGTGAATTCATTTTCATAGCTGTACAATCGCAAATATATATGTGGTTGTTTTGTACGTGTGTGTACATTAGATTTGTCAAACGAAAATACAATTAATAAGTTCAGATGAATTGGATGTTGATATAAGAGGGTAGTAACAAAAGTGATGAGTTGTCACAAACGATTGTTAAAGAAGAGTTACGTGATGGCGTGAATAGTTTGATGAAAGAAGTTGTGCTCAGGGTGTACATGGAAACAAAATAACTACGGAATTACGCAAGGGTTTTAAGTAGAAAAATAAGCATACAAACAAAAGTTAAGTCAAATCAAACAAACAAACAAAGAAAAGTTAAGTCAAATCAACACAGTTGTTACCATGGGAGTAGAAGTGGTTGAATAATTTTCTTTTGTATGCACAGTTCTGGTTCCTCTAGCTTAATGGCTAGGGCTTCTGCGATGCAAAGAAGACGGAATCGTACTGTCTTTGGAAGGTTGTTCTTCACTTTGTAGATTACTTTGAAGCAGGAGGCGTTTGTTGAGATGGAATGACCAATGTTGACGAGGTGTTCTATTATTGCACTCCTTATGCAGCCATTACTGCCTTTCTGCAGCCACGCTAGATAGTGTTCTTTGAATGACCGATGTACCTGGCTCCACAGCAGCAGGTGAACTGATATATACACACAGAAGTGGTCAGGCGCGGGATCTTGTCTTTTGGGCTTCTGCAGATCAGCGTGCGACTAGAGAACACTACTCTCAATGTTGCCGCAAAGAAAGTTCTTCTTAAAGAGGTGGAGATTCTCCTTCTAAGGACGTCACTGAGTAGGTCTCCTTTGAAGTGAGGTTCATATAAGTATCTTTTTTGGCACAGATGCTGTTTTTTGCTTTTGGATTTTTTGTTTGATGTTTTTGTCTACGAATCTTGATGGGTAACCGTTTTGTATGAAGGTTTCTTTCAAGAAGTTTAGTTCGTCTTCCATGGTATCAGAGTTGCAGATGCGTCGGACGCGAGTGGCAAGAGATCTAATTAAGTTTCTTTTCCGACTGATTGGTACCCAGCTGTAGAAGCTTGTCAGTTGGCCGTTCCATGTGGGTTTCCTATGGATGGACCTTCTTAAAGTTCCGTCAGCTCTCCTTGTATGTTCAACATCAAGAAAAGGGATTTTATATTCGTTTTCAATTCCAAGAGTGAACTTTGTGGCTGGATGGCATTTGTTGAATATTTGCAGTAACTGATTGAGATCGTGGCCTTTATCACAGATAATAAAGATGTCGTTTACATCCAATTCATCTGAACTTACTAATTGTATTTTCGTTTGACAAATTTAATGTACACACACATACATACAAAACAACCACATATATATTTGCGATTGTACAGCTATGAAAATGAATTCGCCGAAAAGAGACTCTTCGCTGAACTACTTGTCTTCTGTCTATTAATGTTCGAATGGGAATTTTTCATGAAAGTGAAAATAATCCAAAGGTTGTAGAATGTTTCTGGAGAAAAAAAAAGTATAAGGATGTAAGTAGAGTTTGGTTGCGTACAACTATGATCTAGGTCTTTGAGGGTCTCTAACTGAGATTATCGTGTTGTGGATACAGGTGAACATTTAGTTTTGCTATACTGAGAAGCTCCTCCCATTCTGTGAGTTTAAAACGCAATTATTACCTTTCACTAGTATTCACATATCCCAATGAAAAGAAGAGGTACTCAACAATGAATTTTACGGAATTTTAAAAAGACCATTCTCCATCTATCATATCATATCTTTAGCGATTATCTCACTGCAGAAAAAACCAAATTCAAACACTATGTGTTTTGCAAACTACACGTATTATACCTTAGCTTATTTGATATAGCACAATAATAGCATTGGATGGCATTTTAGTTGAAGTTTATTGCCTATATAGTCATTTCAAAGGAGAAATTTTACACCCACGTATTGAAAAACTCGGCGTCTTGTTCAAACATCATTTGATTCGTGGGATTCGTAAGATTAATCTTACCGGTTTATTTTTTGCAGGGATAATAAGAATAAAAGTGGAAGTCAGTAAATGGCAAACTGTCCTCTCAGTTTTCAAAATTCATAACTTCTAGTGTTAGTGGTCCTTAAGATGAGTGGTTTAATTGCAGAGCTTTCATTGTCTTTCTGGACCACACCGTATTAGAAAAGCTTATTTGAAATAACGCACAATTAAAGAAGGGCGACCTAGGACTCTGCAAGAACTGGCCAGGAATCACGCTCCTGTCGACGCCAACTAAAATTCTGAGTCGCATAACCCTGGAGAGGATAAAGGAAGCACTGGATACAGAACTCCGACCAGAACAAGCTGGATTCAGGAAAGGCAAATCATGTTCTGACCAAATTGAAACTCTACGCATCATCACTGAACAAAGCATGGAATGGCGATCAAACCTCTACCTCAACTTTATAGACTTTGAGAAGGCCTTTGACAGAGTTGACAGCGAAGTAATTTGGAAACTACTCGAGTACTACAGCGTACCCCAAATATTCATCAACCTTATTCAACAGCTGTACGACAACGGCACATGTCAAGTCATCCACAACGGAAAACTCAGCGAGGCGTTTAGAGTAAACACAGGAGTCAGACAAGGGTGCTGATTATCACCAATGATATTCCTAATTGTGGTGGACTGGATTATGTGTCAGACAGTGGGAAACGAGAAGACAGGGATATCCTGGACCAACAGGAAGAACCTAGAAGACCTGGATTTCGCGCGTGGATGATCTATGTTTGATGTCACACAAAATCGAAGACTTACAAGCGAAAACCGACAAACTGGTCGAAGAAGCAGCTGGAGAAGATAGGACTCCAGGTGAACATAGACAAGACGGAGGTTATGAAAATAACCAACCAACAACAACAAGAACAGCAACGGCAGCAACGTCCAGCGACAATCACCATCAACGGGAGTGATTTGAAAGAGGGTACATCATTCACTTATCTAGGCAACCATCATTGTCTCAACTACAGGCAGGTGGAACGGACGAAGATGTCAAATCGAGAATCGGGAAGGCGAGAATCATATTTATCAACCTGAAACCAATCTGGAAATCTTCCGCTGTCACTCAACCCAGCCAGAATCAACAACAAAATTCGGATTTTCAATACTGATGGGTCAGAAAGTTGGCGGCGGGTCACAAAGAATGAGTATTTCCAGCAGCCTGTTGCAGACCTTTATCAACAACTAACTGTCTTCGCTGGCTCTATTCTGAAGATCAGATGGCCGGAAAGAACAAGAACCAACAAGAAACTATGGGAAGAAACAAAGAAAACAAGGAGCAATCGCCGAACAAATATGCAGGAGAAAGTGGAGATGGATTGGACACTCACTCGCTGGCTGAGGAGGCCACTCGCTGGGTGACATCGCGCGTCAGGCCATAGCTCGAGTGGAACCCGAAAGGGAAGTGGCGGCGAGTGTGACGTCAGTGGAAGGGTGACATGTAGGAGATCGTGTGAAGAAGAGTTTAAACAGTATGGACCAG